TAAAAAAGAACTAGAGATAATAAAATCTTATATATATTTTAAGTATACTAAGTTATATCTTATTTCTATATCCTATCTCTATATTATATTTCTATATTCTAATTCTATATTCTAATTATTATAATTAAAGATATATTAAGGTTTATAAGTAATTCGATTTAGAAAAGAAAATATATAATTATTAAAAAAAAGTATCTTTTTTAAAGCTAATTCTAGTTTTAAAAAGAGAAATCTATTTCTAATACTATTATAAAATTCTATTTTAGAATAAAATTATTATATAATTATTATAAATTTTACTAGATTATAATAATAAATTAGAATATAGTAATTAAGTATTAAACTAGTTATATTTACTATTATTATTATAACTATCTTATAATTAACTTCTATTAAAAATAATACAAATAAATAATTAACTAGATCTAGATAAATATTTTATTAACTTATTTTAAAATATACTTTTAGAATATTATTAGTATTATTATTATTCTTACTACTACTATTATAGTATAATTATAAATCCCGAGTTAAGCCTATTAATTTCTTAGTCTAGAAAGTTAATAAGATATCCAGGAATTCTTATTATATAATAACTTTAGTAATAACTAGAATTATCTAAAATAGCTTTCTTTATATTATCTAAAAGATAGCTTATATCTCCTAAATACTAATTAGTAAAACTAAAATACTTTCTAGTATTTCTAAATAAGAGCTTTTAGTATTAAAAAGCTTATAAGTATTATAGAAATTAATAAAAGTATATATTACTTATAGAAATAAAGAAAAGAGATAAAGAAAGCTATAAATGAATTATATTATAAATTGGAATTTATTATATTAATAGTTATTCTTACTTTTATTTCTTATTATTTTTCCTGTTTTTAATTATCTATAAAATAAAATAAATATAAATATACTATTATTATTTCTAGTCTAGAAAAATAAATCTCAAATTCTCTTATAAATATTAATTAAGTTATAGCCTCTTACTATAGCCTATATCCTTTCTTATACTAGGTATAGTAAATGTTTTAGTCTTTTTTATAATATAAGATATAAAAAGAGGTAAAGAAGCTAGAGTATAGAAATAGAATATAGAGAGTTATATAGTATATAGACTAGTATATTTAAAATATATATAAGAATCTTATTATTTTCAGAAGCTATAAAACTCGAAGGGATCTAAACTATTAATACGAGTTTATATAAGTTTAAAAAGAGTTTAATTCTCTTTTAATTCTTATAAAATAACTTATTTTATTAAAGTAAAAACGAATCTTTTAATATATAAGCTTTCTTTAAAAATCTCAATTAGTATCTAATATATTTTAGTTATCTCGAAATGTTTTATTTTATATTTTAAGTCTTCTACTATAATAAAATCATTATAAATACTATAAATACTAAAGATATCCTCTTCTTTTATCTTTTACTAGCTATATATCCCTAAAAAAGATTTAGTATTATTTTTACTTATTTTATTTTCTATAATAATAATATTATAATTTAAAATTATAAACTTAATAATAATAGTATTTAAGATACAAATTCTAAATATTCTAATAGTACCTTTAGTAATATATATACTAATAGCTTTAAGGACTTAATATATAATAGACTAATACTAGAGAAATAGAGTTATAATAAGAAGTTAGTATAACTACTAGCTAATATTCCCGAAGCTAGGGTTAAGATTAATAGGCAAGCTATATAAAGAATTAGTTTTAGTAAAAGGCCTTTAAGAATATATATTTATTTGGTTTCTTAATATAGAAAGTAGTATTTTTAGATACTTGAGATTTATTACTATTTCTAGTTAATAAAACTTTAGATTATATTATTATATAAAAGCTACTATTTATTAGATTATATAGTCTTGCCTTATAACGAATCTAAATATTCTTCTTATTATAATAATTATTAATTTATACTTATAAAATACTTACTATTCTATTATAAATTAATAGATAAATTAGAAGACTTACTAACTAGGAAATAACCAGGAAATAAGCCATAGTAGCTTATATATAGGAAGATAATATATTTGAGTGAAATATAACTCGTTAGTACTACTTCCAGAAGCAGGAGTATTAGTAGAAGAAATGGGATCCTCAGTATTACGCTCTGCCGCTTCACTAGTAAATTTAGCGTCACGTGATCGCGATGACGCATGCGGCTGGCTAGTATTTAGAACACCAAGCTCCCGCACTTACGAGCTTCCCTCCTTAGTTTAGAATCCTCGGAATAGAGCTACTCTACCTTGCTTTCCAAGCCCAGAGACCCGGTCTCGTAATACTCAGGTACTAGAATAGGTCCTATAATTAAGTAGATACTAAATATACTATTTTTAGTTCTATAAGAATATAAATTCTAATCTTAGACCGGAGTTATTTAAGGATACTCTACCCTGAATTGTATTTATTTCTGAGTATAGACTCTTACTATAGCTAAGTTCGGGCTTACTCAATTTCAAATCAGCTTTAAATTCGCATCTTATAATACTATAAATTAAAAGCTCACTGAAAATAGCGGCCCTGGTAGTCTTCTCCTCTATTACTCTCTATTATATAGTATTAGTAATTAATTTACTTACCTAGAATAAGACTATAAAAGCAGGTATTATAACTTTAACTATATAAACTCTATCCCCTTCCCTTCTTGTTTCAGCTAATAAATTCTTAACTGCAGTTTAACTTTAGTAATTTTACTAATATCTATTTACTAAATCTCTTAATTAAGCCGTATACTATTCCCGACCTTATTTAACCGCTCTAAAGCTAAGCTCAAAATGCCGTAAGTACTCTAATAGTAGCTCTTTCCGCTGCTACTAGTAAGGTTTAGAGTGGTATAGGCGCTACTGCTTCTGATCTTAATATAATTAGGGTATTAATTCCAAGAAATTATTTACTTAGTACTAAGTAATTTTGTATTAGGTTTATTTATAATATAATATATTACAAATTGCTATTAAATATTTCTAATATAATACCAAAAAATATTATAAACTTTATTAGTAATAAAGTTATCTAGTCTCTTTAACCGCTGGAAGGGATTATAGTAAAAGTTATACCTGTAATTATTTAAAGCTCTTTTATTTTCGGCTTGGAATTCTTAGCTATTATAGTAGCTATATTTATCTATTTAATACTTTCTACTGCAGCTTTCTTTCTGAGATTAGGGGTCTGTTTATTAGCTGTATTATACTTTATTCCTTTTATTATATCCACTGCTATTCTATACTAAGTATAATTGGAGATACAGGCTTTTGATTTGATTATAGGGATAGAGAAAGGGGATGTGACTGGCCAGTGTATGGGAGCTGTTGCTTATACTGGAGTTATGATGCTATTAACAATTTTTATGTTAATCTTTATATAAGGGGGTTCACAGCAAGTAGTTTCTCCTCCCCTCTCTCTCTTCAGGTTCTGTTATTTTGTTGCTACTTTATAGTCTGAAATTCCAGCGAGCCACATCTAGGCCCTTGATTTGGCGTGCGAAGGGTAATATTGCATAAAAACTGGGATTTATTCACACCAATAGAATCAACTTTCTTTTCTACACTTCGATATCACACGTGCAGACAACAGCAGTCACGTGTTGTTGTCTCCAGCTACTTCCTAAGTGTAGCCAAACCAATGACGTCGAACTAATATTGAGTCAAGCGAACAGCCTATGCCCTACTTCTTTTGGACTGTGAAAAGTGGGGGTAACGTCCATCCCTGCGTGCCGGAAAACCTTGTGTGCCGGAAAGACTTCACAGTCTGAGGTTCTTAACTTCCCACCATAGAAATATATAGAGTATTAGTTAGTTTAACATTGTTTTTTAGCTATTTCCCTAGAAGGGCTCGACTTGCAATTACAAAATTACTATAGTTTGGCCATGCTGTCGACTGTTCTGTTAAGAGCGGCAAAAGCTGCCATTGCTATGATCCCTTGCTTTGTTGTGAAAAATTGCCTATCCCCGGGAATCGGGCCTATAGTATAGAGCTCCTATTGAGTTCAAATCTAATTCTAAGGTTTGAAGACATAGAGTATAGGGAAACCTGCCTGCCGGATTTATCCGGACAAGTAGGTGGTATATAGAATGCCGCATCCTGATAAGCGAGGGAGGATTTACCGCCCTCACCTAATATTGTATTTACAGCCACATGAATCGTATTTTAATTCCGCATTTTATTGCTATCACGTGAAAGTGTGGCGCAGTGTCGCCTTGTAGAAGCTTCCACAGCAGCCACGTTTGTCGGTTCTGCAAGAAGTTGCCACTCAGCCGTCCCAATCCCATCCCTATCTCCAAGTAAGGTAACGTCCATCCCTGCGTGGCGGAAAACCCTACGTGCCGGAACGACTTCATGGTTTGGGGGTCTCAAATCTCTACCACATAAATATATAAAGTCATAATTAGTTTGCTATTGTTCTTTAGCTATTTCTCTATAAGGATTCGGTTGTAGTGAGAAAACAAGGCTGTTGTAGTCATGCTATCGATCGTCCCGTCGACGGCATCGAAAGCCTCTTCGGCTGTTCCCCCCTGCTCTATCGTGACTATTAGCCTGTCTCCAAGTTTCGGGGCCACGGCACAAAGGTACTACAGTAGAAGGCGAAATGGGTGTCGCTAAATTTTTAGTTAATTATTTTTAGAGGGGTCTATATCAAGACCCTTGTGGCTGTGCACCTGCCCAGCTGTACTCCAAAGGTACCACTGCTAGCTGTCGTCACAGAGCCGAGCCAATGTTTGCCATTCTGATGACATCAAATCTCGCACTTTTCGCAGCATTTTCTGATTCAGAACATAATAGAGGAGTAATCTACAGGGTGAAAAAGAACCCACTAATGAATTAGCAGCCAATACTCGCCACCTGTTCTCTGCGTGTTGTGCGGCGCCAAACCTACTACGCTTCGGTTCAACCAAAGCAACCTCAAATGGTTCTGGCCGACCAAAGACCATCACTTCTCACATGTAGAAGCTTGCACATGACGTAGGTGAGTGAGACGTGATCAGAGTGAATTACTTCTGATTAATAGTTTACTCAGCACAGCAACACCCATTCGCTCAGACCTCCACACAACCAGTTGATAACTGGCTTGTACCTAGCAACAGCAAAGAAACAAGACGAAACAAAACAAGCCAGGAAATACCTACAAACACAGCCTTCCTAACTATATCGTAAACTCCGTAATATATCTCTCATCTGAACCAGAATAGTATCGCTTTCTCAGTCCCGTTCCTAGAAACGCAGCTCTGTCATGAAGGAAGCGAATGTGAGCTTCATCCTCAGCATTTGGAATAGTTATTATCATTGACTCGTCCCCTCGGGCCAACTCTAGAGCCCTAACTTGATCCAATGCAGACTCAGGACACATTGTAACGGAATGCGCCACCATCCCCATCAGAGGGTAGTTTTCCAACGGGTACGGATTGCTGAGAAAGTCCGGGGGCATCAGCAGTCTACCACAGACTGACTGGAGGAAGCTTGCCAGTTTCCCGGCGATGCAAGCCTCGTGGAGCTTCATCTCATTTTCTCCCCTTTCGAAGTACTCCTGGTACATCTTTCGAAGCTGCATCCGTTGGCGTGCTTCCTTGCAATTCATAAAGCCGTAGTCAACCACAACGGCTCGGAACGGATCAGACACGTTCATGCGTGTAAATCGCTTAAGCTCCCATACGCTTTGGTGCCATTTCTTTACTGTGGCCATGAAATCCTTGAAATTGCGCATGCACAAGATTCGGTCCGCAAGCCCGTATATGCCGAACAATTCCACGATGCCCGACTCTGTCATAGAACTCACGAACTCATTAAACGTGCAGCGCCCAACAAGTAATTCATATGCAGAGCAGAGTCGATCTTCCGAGATGGCGTCCGGGGCTGTGCAAAATCCCAACAAGATCCAGTTGTCCTCGTCAACATCTGGCTTGAATCCATTGCGAATCTGGACATAGAACAGAAGTGCACTTCGCTTTTCGGGGGGCTGAAGTTCGGTAAACGGCAATTTTCTTTCGTCGGACCTCAAGAGCTCTTCTTGAGCCGCTTCAATGATAGTGATGAGCCCCTGGCTTTTGCCGTTGACTCCGAATCCCTCTTGGCTCTCCAGCCACTGCTTGTCACTTGACATTACGAAATCTCCGGTTTGACCGCACCGAAAAGTAAGCATCTCTTTGAGCCTGTTCTGCTTCACCGCAGCACGCAGCTCCTCCTCATCTATGTTCCACTCAATTACGAGCCGGCGGTAAAGCTTGAAGAGCCTCGACCGATCCTTCCCAGTGGCAAAGCACATAAAGCCGTATTGTTCGGCTACATCATCTTCCTGCGGATACTGGTTCGTGTGGCAGGCGAGCACCAAGTAATCTGTAACATCGATTGGCCTCCCTAGGCTGCAAGAAAACTTGTGTCGATACCAATCCGCATGGCAGCAATCGATATCGCAGTAGGCGGCAATACCACAATTTGTACAGGTATTGGCGAGTTCGCCGGTGACTTTGCAGAACGAGCAAGCTGTTGGATTAGCAATCTTGGGACTCTCGGTATCTCCCCTCGGCGCGCCTGCCTTGTCATGCCTCAAGTCGGAAATGACGGGGCGTCCATCCTCGGTAGGAGCCGTTCTAGTATATTGTTAGTATAATGAGCAGCTAAGGATGAGCTAACGAGTAAGACTGGGCGACGGACCCGATTTCGCTACCACGCCTACGAAACGCCGAAATCCACTCTGCTTCCCTCCCTGGAAGTCTGGGGTCCTCAACCACGGCATTGAAAATCGTCGTCACCTTCCTATATATTGGCGGGATTGGGGCTGCAATCACCGATTCCTTCTCTGCATCCATATGAGGAACCTCTTCCGTCGTTTCCTCTCGAAGGATATCTCTTAAACGCTGGACGGCCATGTCTAGTTTCTCAGTGGTCTCAGGCTCGGTCCACAGCGTTGAGGGAAGTGTCCATTGAGAATAACACTTGCCGTGGTTCCCTCGAGTCTCGAATTGACCTATCTCCTTAAGTACGTGGCCACAAAGAAGGCACGTTTTCTTGCTGATCCCAAGATATGGGAAAACCTCCAATCTAGGGGTCCGGAGGCCAAGGAGATACATCATCAGCATCATTTCGGCATGAATGTTCTTTTTCTTTTTGGCCTCTGTGTAGAACCTCGCTTTTAGTTGGGCAGTGAGGGAAGTATCTGCCTCGGGCAGCTGCCATGCCTTGACTTTCCTAGCTGGGAGACTGTTCAGCAAGATGATCTTGATATTGCGAAAACCAGAGCACCTCTGAGCGACGAGGAAGAGATCAACTACGCCTTGCATTGGCCTTCTGATAAACCCCAACTCATCCACAATGCGCCGGAGCTTCGTAGATGTCAGATTGGCCTTTAGTTTTGCATAAAAGTCGGTGTTGTGAGACAAGTCCTCGACGGTTTTAGCAAATTGGTAAACATCCAGACGGCCGGAAGCAACTCCACCACATCCGTCCTCTTTGAAGAACGTTAATCCCGTCTTCCCATTCTCTATGGACATGACAATTTGGGCGTGGTGCCGAATCCGTTCGCAATAATATTCGACCAAAGTGCGCTGTAGCCGAGGAAGTGGGTGAGACTCGAAAGTATCTGCGCCAAGCGTCAATTCCGTGGACGGGTAAGGTAAGTTTCCAGAAAGATACAGACCATCAAAGGATATTCTTTCAAGGATTTCGGATAGGTCTTCGAGCATCCTGCAGTCCCTATGTGACCACGTGTCCCCGCCCGAAGACGAGTTCCGGGCGGCGACGATAGTAGCCTCCTCGTCACTGTATATTAAGGCCGTGCTGGCAATCAATGCGGGGTCTTTCTTATAGCAAAGCAACTCGGCGAGTCGATCGAGAAAGCCGCTCTTAATTTCGGTGTCGTCATCCAGGGAGAGTCGAGAGAAGAAATTAGTACACTTATCGTCCTCCGCCGAATTGTCCACATCATCATCCCCCTCCTGGGTAGAAGGAGCGATAGGTACTCTCTGCTGTTATTTAACTTGGCACAAGGCGGCCAGGGTGGTAATCTCAGACTCTAGGTCAGGAGGGAAACGCCATTCCAAGGCGTCGCTGGAGCCCGACGACGCGGGGAGTGAAGTAATGATTCGGACGCGGGCCATTGGGATGAGCCTCGAGGCTGTGGGACTGTCTTTTACAGTACCCTCTCCGGAAAGGCAATGTCAAGAGGGGAACACAATATCGCAATGGTGTGGGCATGTTATCATGAGAAGAACCCCGCATGATGCACAACGTAAAGTGTGGGGTCACCACTGCAGACCGTCACTGTTTGCTTCCACAGGCTTCGCGGGGCGACCGCCGTAACGGGGCAGAGGTGCACAGCCGCAAGTGTTCGGAAACGGAGCTCGGTAAAATAATTACAGTATCTGAAAAATAAACGACACCTATTTCGCCTTCTGCTGTATCAAGAAAGAATATAGCTCCAAGTTTTGAAGACTCAGACTACAAGGAAACGTACGCGCCGAGTTTATCCGGACGAAGGGGAGGCATATAACGCCAAGCGAATTTATCGCGCTAATATGATACCGTATTAATAGTCATCTAGCCGTATTATATTGCATATTATACCGAATGCAGATAAAGTGTGGCGTTCTTCTAGAACTTTCCAAGAGCAGCCACGTGCCCGATTTTGCTCTGGGAGCTGCGACTCAATCGTTCCTATTCCTATCTCCATTATCGCCATAAGTTATGAGCGACCGCGCTAGTAAATCCCTTGCAGAGGTCATTAATACCATATTAAAATATATAAAAGCCCCTCTCTCTACCCTCTAGTAAACCGTATAATTCATTTCTCTATTCGTATCAACTTTCACGCTAGCGATAATAATACATATGCCTTTCTATCCTGGGCCAGAGTAGTATATCGCATTCCATGAACTTGATCCATTAACAGACCGTAAATACATATATTATACCCAAAAAGAAGAGAGATATACCTGGCTATCTAATAATAACGAAAGAGCTATTAAACTATATAGACTAATTAGTATACTGCCATATGGGACTATTAATCTCGACTTACTAATAGATTATATCTTATACTACTACTATATATTAGGCCAGGCAAAATATTAAATTCGTATAGGGAACCGTTAAGAATTATTACCGCTGGCTAAGTAATGGCTAGATAAGGTCTAGAGATACGCTACTACTATAATATACTATTCTACTTCCTCTATTCCTATATCCGAGGAGAATAATAATAATAATTATAGTACTAGTACTACGCAAGTATTAAGCCCGAACCATACTATAATTAACTCGAGCTTTGGATCTAACCAATTAATATTCATTATTAATGGAATACCTCCCAAGCCTATTACAAACTCATTACCCAAGTATCCTAGTATAGACGCTATCTCTATAATTCAATTATTTAAAGGCCAGACTCGGTATAACCTTTGTCCCAGTAACTCTAATATATTAATAGATTCCACATTATCTCTGGCCTCGATTTACCGGGCCCCGTAATCTGAGTTCGCTCCGTATATTATAAGCCCTGGCCCCGGTAATAAGGTCTCTCAGAAGCTCCTCGAGTTTCTTATAGATAATGACTTCCGGACTAGCTCACTCTATATATTCGATTAATATTCCTCACCAGGCTATATTAAGATTAGTTATACTATATGGTTAGTTGCGGACGGCCTCATATAATAGTCTAAGTACGGGTATAATCCAAACCTTTTATTTAAAGTAGATAACGTACTATATATACGACGAGCAGAGACTCTTACTTACTACGAGCTAATTAAGGAGTGGCGCCGGGAGCGGAGGTATAATTATGGCAGAGAATATACTAGTACTTATTAGGAGTAGTTTGAGATTAGTATAGAAAGATTATTTAAGGTACTGGGAGACTAGGTAGACTTTATGAAAAGAGCAGCGCTATATAATACGGCATATTGCTTAAAGTGGCAATAAATGAAATTTATCGAGCTATTGGATACGAAGCAGGAGATAGTTACTGCTAAGAAACTGTTAGAGTACTACGAAGTTTCTCTAGTAGATAACAAGACTCTCGTTAAAGAATTGGCAGCCTTAGAGGTTAAAGAGAAGGAAAGCGCGGGTATCGAATCTAATATTAAAGATTTCAAATTAGTACTATTCTTCGGGGTATAGCCCTCCTCGAAATCAGACATACCATTCAAATCCAACCTACTATAAAGGTATATACCACTATTAGAAGCCGATTCGCTATTTAGGACTAAGCTATCCGTAAAGACTAATACCTCAAATAATATATCGAACTCGAAGAGAATTTCAGTTAAGGAAGATATGTTACTAGAGCAGATACCGCTGCCTCCTTCGCTACTACCCTAATCTATAGCTTATACTAATAACGAATTTTCTTTCCGTCGGAAAAATAGGAGAAACCTCGAGTACTACGATCGAGGAGAACAGGAACGAGCCAGACCCTAATGGGATGGCATTAGCACTAACCGAGATAGTAGCTCAGGCCCGATCGCCGCCGGTAATACAGCTATCGGAAGCATTACTCAATCTTCGAGTTTATAACCAAGAAGAAATACGAAAGATAGTAAGCTCGCCCTCGCGGTACTAACAGAAAGCGACCGAAGAGCCGCAAACAGATACCGAGACTGAATTTCATAATAGAGACGATACTATTATAGCGGACGAGGAGGATAAGAGTTAGGGTAATAATCCAATACTAGTAGCAGGAGACCAGACACTGTCTTCGGAGCTGGCGGCGTTGGAGATTATTAATGGGCTGTATAATGGAATCCCTACTGGGAAGTCGAGTGGCATTTTGAAAGGTCTGGATACTGCGACGGTATTGGAGACCGAGGTGCAGCCAAATGTTGCGGTTGTTGCATAGGCACTAATTGATCGCCAAGTCTTCGACGAAACGGCCACCGAACAGCGCACGCAGATGATGAACGAAGTTTTCTCCCGCAACCGATCTAACATGGCTTGCCACGTCTTCGGCCACATGCGCCAACATTCCATCCTCAACCGTCGCCCCAAACTGGAAACTTATGTTCAATGCTTCGTGGGCATCGCGAAGTGCGAGGACCGCGAGAGCTTGGATATGGTGCACAACGTCTCAAAATGGACATCTCGATTGAGCCCAACACGAGACTTTACAACTCGCTGATGCTGCCTTACACACACAGCCTACGACGGTACAGATCGCGCTCTGGATTTCTGGGACAACATTACCAATACTAATGAAGGCCTAATCTACAAGTCTCAAGAAATCGAGTTCTGGGCTTATGGGCGCAAGCCGTTTGGTGACCGTAAAGCGCGGGATATCTGAACCAAAATGCGCAGGATGGAGATTGAGGTTACGGGCGAGGTTTCTGCGGCGTATATTAGTGCATTGTCTGTTCAGGGGAAGTTTGAGGCGGCGAGAGACGTGCTAGAAGTCATGGAGAACGATTCGTCGCTTAAGTTGAATATGCTGATGTATGTCCCCTTTCCTTCCCACACTTGACAATATTCTTGCTGACTTTATATAACAGATTGGGAAAATTCTATAATTGCATCCTAAGTCAGCACGGGAAGGATCTCGTGGAAGAGTGGGCGAAGGGTTTATATCCCGATGTATGGAAGGAAGGAGACGTGTAAGTAAGGCCAGACGACCCAGAAGGAGGGCCACAGGTTGTTCCATATGAAGAGGTAGATCAAGGCTTGAAGAGCTGTATGCTATATACTAACCTATCTGTAGCCATTTTGTATAAAATACGATATCATGAGGCTTGAAAGTTCCAAGATTTGCCGTGCTTTCGACACTCTTGAGGTATTAACCGGGGGGGGAGGGAGTGGGGGTTGCTTTGTTGCCTGTTGCCCCTCAACTTGGAACCTTGGTACTTTGGTGAAGCAGACCTAGGGACTTGGGTTTTGTTCCCGGAGCATCATACCAGATCATGCAACAACCAGGTATCCTTTCTTCTTGGCGTGTCTAGGGACTTTGCACCTTGACGGTGGTTGGGTTCCTGGTCCCAGTGCTGTTGTTTGCCTCGCTCGCTTAGTTGTTCATCTCAGAGCAGGTAGCTCGCTCGAGTTTTCATTGTCTTTTCAGGATAGAATGGTCCGCTTCAAAGTAATAAGAAGGCTCTAGGATATTGTTCTAGCTATTTTGGCTCTTGTTGGTCTAAGTCTCTGGGATCGTTGGCCTCGCTCTCAAGAATACTCGTCCAATGATATATCAGAAAATTCTGCATCACTATCACTACTAGAATCGGAGTTTAGTCCCTTGCCTTCCTCTGCCAACCATCTTTCCTCTGCTTTGCGTCTCTCCTCCTCCTTCTCTTCCTCCTTCCGCATCTGTAACAGTCCTTCCACTCTCGGATTCTCCTGCAACTTCCGCAATCGATTCAAAAAGATGGTGCCCCACTTTGTGCCCCTCTCTGCTTCTACGCTGGCGAGCAATTCCCCCCACTCCGGTCCCGGCAGGTCAACCTTGGCGCATTTTGAAAGAAGCAGCTCTCCAACTTCCCAATGGCCCCACGCCACGGCAGCTTGTACGGCATTTCCCCACCTTCCTCCCTTCACATTCACGTCAGCACCCCTGTCTAGTAAGAGCTGCGCTATGCTTTTTTTACTCCAGTAGGAAGCTGCTTGGAGTGCATTTCCATAAGGTCCTCCTGTCACATTCACATCAGCACCCTTGTCGAGTAAGACTTGCACTATGCTTTCTTTCCCCGAGTAAGAAGCTGCTTGAAGTGCGTTTCCATAGGATCCTCCTTGGGCGTTTACATTAGCACCCCTGTCGAGTAAGAGCTGCACGATGCTTTCGTACCCACGATAGGAAGCTGCTTGAAGTGCGTTTCCATAGGATCCTCCTTGGGCGTTTACATTAGCACCCCTGTCGAGCAAGAGCTGCACGACTCTTTCGTGTCCATGCCAGGCAGCTGCTTGAAGTGCATTTCCATAACTACCATTGTCTGATACTTCGCCGATGGTGGAAATGCCTTCTGCTTCGATAATGATTCCAGCGAGCTTCAGTGCATCGATTGAGCAAGCATAGTAGAGTGGCAGAACGAGTTTGTCTGCTGTTTTGTGATAATCTGGGTCACAGTCCGGATGATCTGGATCTCGGATTCGCGCCATGTTCAGAAGACTCTGAGATCTCCGCGTGAAGACCTGTAGAACTCCTTTTGTGACTGAGGGGGTGCGTTTGTCAGAAGGAATTAGGTCAAGATGTTTTGGCCAGTATGCAACAACATATTCCCAAAGAGGATATTCCCGAAGGAGGTATGGTGTCGCAAGTATAGTCTTGCTCAAGTGCAGGTGGCAAGCTAGGCATGACTCGGCGATGTGTATGTTTGCGTCTGTTTCCTTGATGCCAAATGTCGCAGAGCTGTTTGACGACATCCGGGGAGATATTAAATATTCCTTGATTGAGAAGTGTGCAAGCCTTATTTCAATCACGTCTGCGTTCTTCCTAGCGTGGTGATCATCGTCTTCATCTCCTATATGTCGAGGAACCTCTGTGACAAGGCCGGCTAAGAAGTCCAATACAGCGATAGGAGTCACAAGACGATTGTCTGCATCAAACGGTTCGTCGGCTTCAATGTCGAGGGTGAATATCTCCGCAATTTCTTCCAGCAAGAGAGGTCGAAGAGAAAACGAGAGCCACTCTAGCACCCTTGCAGCATGCTTCTGGTCTTCTCGGTTTATGCGTTGAAGCATGCGATTGTATGTTGCATCCAGGCCTTTGGGAAGATCGTCCAGTGCTTTTTTGATTTTTGCTGCCCCTCTGAGTGGCCGTAGGGCTTCGAACTGACAAGATATGTATTGGAACCTATGTTTCATGTTAGGATTTTTGGATCTCTTTTACGTCGTGCATAAGATGCTTCCGGAACCAGAGGACATACATGCCATCGGACTTCTCGATGAGTCCTTTCCTCGTTTCGTCTTTGAGCTCTCTAGGCCATGAGTTATAAGTTATTGAGGATAGAGTACGGTCGATGAACAATCCAATGTCGTGGTCGAGGGCAGGTTTGTAGGCTGATAGATCAATGTCCCATTTTTCGAATCGGGATTCAATTGAACGGTATGAAATTTCAATGTCCTTCTCCCTCCGACTTGTCCAGAACATATGCAGATTCCTTGAGCTCTTCTGATGAATAGTGGCAAGACAACTTAACAAAACATCCCGGCCGTAGTCTACGTCGGGGCACTCATCAAGCGCATCGACTATCACATAGACGCTGGAGAAGCCTTGGAGCGTCTCGACGAGAATACTCTGCAGCGTTTGGAGGTCAGGTCGATGACCTCTCGCCTTCAAGTCCTCTAATGCTTTGATTGATAGAGGAGTATCAGGCCGACAGCAACATATCTGTTTAACGATTGATTCGATCATTCCGACAGCAGTTTGTTTCTGCTCGTCGTTGAAGCTGATGTAGAAGTATGCCAAGGCTACTTGAGGGTCTCCTTGATGAGCTTCTTTCAAGTGGCTGATCACTGAAGAACTAGCGTTTGTCAGCGCTCATTGATCTAGTAACCCGAAAGTATGGAAACTTGCCTTAGGACCGATTTTCCGGAACCGGCTACATGTTATCGATGTCAGCATTACGGGCGAAATCATAGTCTCGAATCTAGAACCGACCTTTCCCGTTAAGCCACATAAGAGAATTGGGTGCAGTTTTCCACCTTTTGAAGTCTTCATTGTTCCGTACCAGCCAGTCCCCCGTGCCGTGCCCGCCGTTCTCGTATTTGCCTCGAGCGTTGTTGTAATTCTGCGAAGGATCCACCGAGCTCAGCCAGCTCAGCAATTCGGTATGGTTGTAGTCGAGTCGCGCTGTCTCGATAGCTTTCCGGAGTGCCACAACATCACTGAATCCTGATTTGAAGATTTCCACCATCTCCCCATGTCTCTTATCCAGTTTCTCGAATTCCTCTTCGATCTTCACATCGCTCAACAAGTCATAAGTACGGCACATGGCTTCATCCTGCTTCTTGACGTCTTTCAGCATATCTTCCCATGCGTGCCACTTCACCATATCCGCGAGTACTCGAAGTCCTCCATTCTTGGTGAAATAGCAAACACTTGTCGCTTGATACCTTAGCACGAGGACATATAGCGCTTTTAGGGTGTCTCTGTATTCTTTATGCGATGGCATAAAATTAGCCCTATCATTTTTGTCCGCGTTTGCCTCCCACCGTCGAAAATACAAATTCTCTTGCATTGTGCTGCGAACGAGAACACCGGAGACACTAGCAAGTCCTTCTAATAGAGCTTTCTCTTGTGTAGACGGATTGAGGAGTAACTATCAATCATCGCAATTTACTTTAGCTCTGTTTGATTCACACCCAATTGACCACTGGAGCTGGCGCGAAGAAAACTTACTGGCACGAAAACCATCACTCCAGCCCATCCGAAAGAAGCCATTGGATTGCTCTTTAGTGCATCACCCACATATTGGTCTGCCCATTTCAGAACTCCCACTAAAGGCTTTGCCATATTTTTAACAAGAAATTCTTCCCCAAGGGCCTTTACTTTCCAGGCGTCCTCCTTGTACTGTTCCAGCTTCATGTCCACGACACTCTTCATCAGCTCGGCTCTTTCTACTTTCAGAGCCTTTGATGCCAGTGCACCGTACACATTGTACCGCAACCTGACCTCGTACTTAGTGATGAGATCTTCATCTTGTGCTTTGAGGTCTTCGTAGGCTTCATTCCAGACCTCGCGTATTGGCTTGAAGACTTGCTCAGGAATCTCCGGGACGTGAGTTTCAGCTGATGCTACTTCATAGGGGGTTTGTGATGTGTTCTCCCCGGTGTCACTGTCTCTAGTCGGGAGCTGACTGTCAGGCGACAAATGATCCTGGGATGTTGGACCTGTCCTAGGCTCTATTGCCTTTCCAACGTTTTGATCTCGAGCGATGGCCTGGGCTCCGGTGTCGGGAGTAGCTACGGCCGGACTAGGATCGACGACATTACCCTTCGATTGAGGCGAGGAGAGCTTCCCTTTCACTCTATTAAATCTTTCCCTTAAGCTAAACTGTAGTTTTGGCTCCTGGAGCAGGCTTCCCGCGGGTGGCGAGCTCGCCATCACCAAAGGCAAAGTACGAAATCGGATATGTGCAATTAGCCACCACTGGTTACGACCCCAGCACTGTGAATCGTGATTCTCTATAGGAAACGGATAAGATGGGTACAAGTTCATGAAAGGTGGGAAGATGGACGAGGGTGAGGCTCGGCAGCTGAACTGAAACCCAGCAGTCGTGGCGGTAACGTGGGCGAATCATTAACCCTGTACCTCATGCAGGCTGTATTTTTGCCCCCACCAGGCCCCAAGAAGCTTCTTCGTACCATTGCCATCTGCACTCCATAATGGCGGTTCCAGTTCATCGCCTTCATGCTTCGTGATTTGAGTGCTGGATGACGCTTCTGGAAGGCTTAAGCCTGGGTCTGCGGGGTCTTCCTTCCTTGCTTGAAGGGTGAAGAAGGAGCTGGTGGTACAGTAGTCACAAAACGTGCATGTACGATCTCCACTTGGAGAGGGAGGGCGCGAAACTTTTGGCCATTGCAAGATTCAAGTAAGACGACAGCTGCAGCACAGCAGGAGATGTCCAAATTGGAACAGGCGCGCCTGGGAGGGAAATTGCGCGAGGTAGAGTGCCCAGTTCCTGGATAGGGAGAGCCTTTGGACTGTGGCTGGGCACTCTGTCGACTATGGAGAGCAAGTGAAAGATGATGGGCCTTCTGTCGTAGAGGGCCTTGGGAACTACCGTACCGTACCGCACCTTCGCCCGACGTTCACGTATGTACTTCACATCTTTGGAGATTTGTACGGGGGAGAAGGTCACATGCACAGGCCGGCCGGCGTATTGGTCTTAGATAGAGTAGGGCTATTCCCCCACCAAAGAATCGTCACTCGCTTCGATCCGAGGTACCGACTCGCATGGCGATTTTGCATGAATCTACACGCCACAGCCGCTACAACGCTGTTGACGATCTCCTGCATAGCAGGGAGGCCTAAGAACTCGGTTAAGGCCCTTCTATAGGTTTTGAAGGCGGTACAAGCTCGGTGGTGCAGCTGTAGGAGAGGAAGTCTATTACGCTACAAAAGGAGACACTCCGCAAATCAGGCGTGAGGGCGACGACGCGAACGTAATTTTTAAGTCGGAGGCAACTAGGGTGTTCGAGAGTGACTATAGAATATAAATTACAAAAAGTAATAAGAGATATTGCGGTCTGCATGGATTTTATGATACTTGGAGTCAATGTACCGGTTAATTTTTCCGGCACGTAGGGTTTCCGCTACGCAGGGATGGACGTTATATGACAAAACGTAGCACTTACAAAAGCCTCTGCCCCTGCCTACGCCACTAGTATCTGCACCCTGTTTGTGCACCCTGTTTGTGCGCCCTGCACACACCGGAACTGAGACGCTGATCCCTAACATCTGTTTAATGTAATAAATTTTTTTTTTTGGCCTGTAAATAACTTGGGAAGAATTGCTAAAAAGGATAGATCAAGAACTTAGCGACTTTCAAACCTTATAATACTATTTAATCTATAAGGCAGCAGAAATTATGGATCTAGTATTACTCTTGAACTCTTTAACAGGTCACCTATTAATAATTTGCTGTCTCTCCGCCTCTATTAGATTTCTTCTACTTCTATATTTTATTATACTAGTAGTATATATAATAGATCGAATATAAAATTTAGAAAAAGTAGTAGAGATATTACCCTCTTACTATAATAAGGACATAAAAGATATTAAGATTAAGAACTGTATTAGCTTTATATAAGTCCCTCTTAGTTTAGCTAGCCCGCTAACTATCTATAGGAAGTCTAAAAGAATAGTATATAGTCCTCTAGTAATAGTAGAGCTAATACTTATTATAAGCTATTCTTGAGGATATAAAGTATTCTAAGCTATAGGTAGTATTAAGGTTAAAGCCTTAAGTAAAGACTTATTATATATTCCTGTTTTTACCTTTTATATAGTTAATAATATTCTCCGGTTCTATTACTATATACTAATACTCCAGTCTCCGTTTAATACTAGTACCGAAAAGACTAGTTAATATATTTGACTTATTAAGATTATTTTATATATTATTAGTAGGACTATTTATATTAAGTTTTATTATATTTATAGTACTATAGCCGGATAGAATATAGTAACTATTACTATATATTATACTTATTAGGACTTCCTTACTTCTATTACTAGTAAAGACTTGGGAATTATTAACTTTTAGATTAAAAGTTAATTTTTATCTAATAAGAAATTATTATAGGGAAATATTAAAGATTCTTATAGTATCAAAGTTATAGCCTGGGGTAGTCTCTCTAACTCTATCTATTAAGTAATTCTTAGATATAGTATAACCAGATTATACTTTATTATTTCTAAATTTAAAGACAGTTATACTTAGAATAGTTAGATAGGATAGAATATTAATACTATTAATATTATAGCTATTATATTTATTTCCTATAGTTAAGATATAGCTAGTATAGTTAAGTTAGACTAGCTTTATTTAACTACTAACTTAAATAAAGAGACTAAAATACTTATTCTAAGCCTATATATTTTATTTCTACTAGTTGGAATAATAAATAGAAATATATATTATTCAAGTTAATAAGAGTCTCTAGAGCTTATTAGATACTATAGAAACAGAAAGAAATAGGCTTTAGCTAAAATAATTATAGTATTTACCTTAGTACTAGATACTAGTACTATTAGTACTATAGTAAATAATATATTTATATTAAGCTACCAGAATCTAGTAAGAGATCCGAAATAAAGTAAGATATAATATAATAAAGAAAGAGAGAAGTTATTATATCTTCTGATTTTAAACTTTTAGTTATAACTTTTCCTTATATTAGTAACCTGACTATTTATTTATTTAAGCCTTTTATTTAAATATAGGTTTAATTATTTGAATTTAAAATACTTCTAATTATCTAGTCTTTATAAAATTCTGGATTAGGAACTAAAATAGTATTAGAACCGAAATTAGTTACTTGAAATACTAAAGAAGAATCTGGCCTTAAATACTTTTATATATAGGGATTTTCTTTTAGTATCTACTTACTTTCTAATCTTTAGTAATAAATTAATATATCTGAAAATAGTAAGTATAATAGTTTGGGAAAGCTTTACTACCTGTATTATAGCTTAGTTATAGCTTTCTCTATAAGTATTTTTATTTATATAGCCTTTTTTAGTTAATTGATTTATTTATATTCTACTAGTAGGCTAAAGTCTATCTAATATAGCTTAAAAGTCAAGTGTGACTTTATATAATAGGGCCTAGTAAAAGCTCTAATTTACTAGAACCTTTATTTAATATTAATCTAGTTCTTAACTTATCTATTAATAGTATTACCCTATTTACTATATAAATGTACTTATATATATTACTTCTAAAATAATCTATTACTATTATACTCTTTTATAAATTCTACTGGAATATCTAATTAGTAATTATAAACTCTTTTGATTCTTATTTAAACTATTATTAAAGTTCGGATTCTATAGTAGTCTAATTTCTCTATTATTTTAGTTCTTATTTAAATATTATATTTTCTCTATATAATTCATCTATCTTTATACTAAAGCTTACTTATATAGGCTAAATAAGTTTATTAGCTATATTTAGAAACTCGAATTATTTTTATATTTTTATAGATATAAGAATCTTCTAAATATAGTCTATTAAATCTGTTCCGGTTACTATACTTATAAATATAGCCTCGAATATAATACTAATTCCTTTATATAATTCCTTATATATACTAATTAAATAATTACTTATATTTTTTAAAAAGAGATACTTTTTCTCTAGTAAGACTTTCTATATATAAGAATTATTAGTTCCTATTATAAAATAAACTTATAATAGTTTAATTGAGATTCCTATTTCATTCTCTAAAGTTTTATTAATAAGAACTAAAAGAAATATATAAAGATAGACTTATAAATATACTTTAATAAATCTTTTTAATACCTATTTCTTTACTTACTATATTTAAGGTTACTTAATCTAATTAGGGCTATTTAATATATAGTACTAAGAAATTAAAAGCCAGAAGTTATTATAAGAGTTTTAAATAAATACTAATATACTACTTAGCTTATTTAAGAAAGTATAATATATTATAGAACTGTTTTTGAACTCTCAAGCTATAATATCTATTTTTAAAAGGTCTCCTTTTAACTCTATTACTTTTTAATAATAACTATTTAAATTTTTAGTATAATAAAATATTTTAAATATTTTTAAAGAAATATTCTCTCGATAAATAATTACTTTAGATATAGTATTCGAACTAAATTTATACTTATAGAGATATATTACAGATTAACTAATAGTTTATAAATCTAAGTAAACTAGAAGCCGAAATAGCTATTATATATTCCTATAATAAAATAACTTATCTAGCTAGTAATAAGATAATAAATTTATTCTTACTAGATATTAACCTATATTTAAATCTTTTCGAGAGTTACTAAGTAGCTTATAATATATTTATAATAAGATTATAAATATTTACTTTTATTTTCTTAGTATTATTTTTTTTATAATTTTTTCTATATATACAAGAATATATAATTATTATATAACTATTTAAGTAAATAATATAATTAGCTTTATAATATTCTTTTTTAAGATAATTTTATATTTTTTTCTTTCTTTTCTATATTATATTAAATTATAATAAAAAGGTAATAATATATTAGAACTAATTTAATTATCTAGGAATTACTATTTTTATATAGGAATTAATAGTCTCTTTAGTTTACTATAGGTTCTATTATAATCTAAATTTATAAAAACTATATTAGGCTATAATTTCTATCTTAACTTTAGTTTATACTATAATAACCTTAGTTCTAAATTTTTAATATCTAGTCCTTAAATTATATTAATATTATATTCTGCTACTTTACTAGTAAATTTAGTATTATATAATTATATAATAATATATATAGCTAGGGCTAGTATTTAGAATACTAAAGCTTCTATATATATAAGCTTTCTTTCTTAGTTTAAAATCCTCGGATTAAGAGCTATTCTATTT